TGTAGGTGGATGGATGTACATCTGGGTTCTCAGTTCTGTTCCATTGGTCAGTGTGTTTGTTGTTGTACCAGTACCAGGCTGTTTTGACTAATGTCACTGTATAGTAGGTTTTGAGGCCAGGTTGTGCGCATCCTCCTACTTTATTCTTCAGTAGTGCTTTACTTATCCCAGGCCTCTTCCATTTCCATGTAAAGTTATTGATTAGTTTTTCCATCTCTTTAAAGAATGTTGTTGGTATCTGGATCAAGATTGCATTGTATTTTTATATTGCTTTGGGTAGAATTGTCATTTTCACAATGTTAAGTGTTCCTATCCATGAGCATGGTATGCTTTTCCGTTTATGTAGGTCTTTTGGTTTCTTGCAGTAGTATTTTGTAGTTTTGTTTGTATAAGTCTTTTATGTCCCTGGTTAGATTTATTCCTAAGTATTTTATTTTTTTAGGGGCTATTATAAATGGTATTGTTTTCCTAATTTCCCTTTCATTGTTCTCTTTATTGGTGTATAGGAATCCATTGTATGTTTATCTTGTTAAGAGTTCTTTATATATGGTGGATGGAAGTCCTTTGTCAGATATTTGCAATATTTTCTCCCAGGCTGTAGCTTGTCTTTTCATTCACTTAACAGTGTCTTTCACAGGGCAAAATGATTAATATTTGAAGTCTGATTTATCAGTTTTTTCTTTTCTGTATTTTGCTTTTGGTGTTATATCTAAAAAAACCACTGCCAAACTGGCTATTCAAACGTAGGCGTTCGGCAGACATTTTCTCGAATAAAATGTGTCTGTTACTTCAAAATAAATAAATAAATAAATAAACCACTGCCTAGTCACAGGTCTTGAAGTTTTTCTCCTATATTTTCTTCTTGGTGTTTTATAATTTTACGTATTACATTTAGATCTGTGATCTGTTTTGAATTTATTTTTCATAAAGTGTGAACTTTTTTTTTTTTGGTATAGGGATGGATGTCTAATTGTTCCAGCACAATTTGTTGAAAAAACTATCCTTTCTCCACAGAATTTTCTTTGATTCTTTGTTAAAAATCAATTGGGCATATTCGCATGAGTCTGTTTCTGGACTCCCTATTCTCTATTCATCTGTGTGTCTATCCTTTTGCCAGTCCCATATGATCAAAATTAATGTAGCTTTGTAATAAGTCTAAAGATAGTGTGATTCCTCCAACTATATTCTTTTTCAAAATTAATTTGGGTATTTTGTCTACTTTGTATTCCAATGTAAACTTGAGAATCAGCTGTTTGTACAAAAAAAAAAAAATCCTGCTGGAATTTTTACTAGAATTGCATTAAAGCTGTGGATAAATCTGGGGAGAATTAACATATTATCATGAGTCTTCTAATCCACGAACATGACACATCTCCATTTATTTATGTCTAATGTCTTTCCTCAGCATTTTGTAGTTTTCAGCATGAAGACTTTGTACATGTTTTCTTAGATTTATACCTAAGTATTTCATTTTTTTGGAAGCTATTGTAGATAGTATCATTTTTCTAATTTTGATTTCTACTTGTTCACTGCTAGTATATGGAAATACAGTTGTTTTTTTTTTGTGTGTGATCTTGTATCCTGCAGTGCAACTAAAGCAGTACTTAGAGGGAAATTTATAACACTAAGCACCTGTGTTAGAAAAAAAAGAAAGGTCTGAAATCAATGACCTCAGCTTCTACTTTCAAGACACTATAAAGAGAAGAACAAACTAAAGCCAGTGTAAACATAAGAAAGGAAATAAAAGCAAAAGCAAAAATCAATGAAACAGAAAAGAGAAAATTAATGAAACCATAATCTGATTTTTTGAGATCAATAAAATTGATAACCCTCTATCCAGAATGATCAGGAGAAGAAGAAGACAAATTATCAATGTAAGGAATGAGAGAGGTGACATTTACAGATATTAAAACAATAAGAGACTATTTTGAAGAACTTATGGCAACAAATTTGAAAATTTAGATGAAATGGGCAAATCCCTTGGAGGATACAAATATCTCAG